TATTTTTCACACAAAAAAGTAGTTTAGACTTTTAAATCTACATGTTGGGTAAAAGTTCACCAAATTTAGACTCACTCAGTTGAAAAATATGGTGTTTTATAAATGTTTTACTGAGAAATGTCCCAGATGGAGAGGTCATTTAGAGACATTTATCCAAAAATGTCTCCAAACTGTGCCAAATGTGTTTTTCACATCAATACTGGGAATTTCTTTAAATTAAATTGCTGATTATCATTGAATGACACTTAGTACATATAATATAACCATTGGTCATGACATTTACCCCATTTATATGCAAAATGTACCATTGTGCACAGTATAATATATATAATAATAATGAACTGAATGCTATTACTTTGACTCCAACTGGAAAATCTTTATAGAAACGCAGTAAAACAGTAAAAAAGAACTTTTTGAAGTATAGCTAACAAAGGAAAATAATAGTAATTACATAAAATTATGAGTGTTTTACTACAAAGTAATGAACAAATAAATATGAAATCCTTACTGGTAAAAAAAAAAAATCATATTTTCAGTAAAACATAAATAAATCAATAAATAAATTAATTAATTAATGAAATCAAAACATCGAATATTTCGAGTGAAGTTGCAGGGAAAAAACTTACACATCACCGCAGGGTCGCAACTACATTTTATTCAGGCGGATGTGAAGACAAAGATCGGCGCCCAGTAATGTTACTTAACCTCATGTTAATTTATGCAGATGCTCAATAGACACTGATGAAGATTCACTCACCTTATGATGTTTTTTATTTTTAGACTTTTATTACTTTCCAGGTCTGCCAAAAATTGTAAAGGACATCACAGATTTTCCTTCAATGACTTCAGGAGTCAATAGGTTTTTAAGATGTGCAATATGATGCAATTAGAGTGTTTGTGTTCTAGTTACAATTAGACAGAATTTTGATCAGATACATTTTCTTTTCTGTTTTCATTTCTGAAAATCCCTCTTAAAACTTGACTATTTTGGATTACAGTGAATAATAAAGAACTTAAATCCAAAATCCCAGCATGACATGAGATGAGATCAGAACAGACAACTCAAAATCAGCAGGGAAGACCAGAGCCATCCCACTGACATCAAAGTGTTTCAGTCACAAAGAGTCAAGACTTACAACAAACTAGCCAATACATTAGCGCCTCTGCTACATGATAAAGCTTCTTCAGGGAGAAAAACACTGGAATTATGCGTGGGCTTTGCTGCAACTCATCTTTAAGATGAGCTCTAGGTTTCATTTTTAATCCTCAATCTATTGAGGTTGATAGTTGTCAAAATAAAATAAAATCCAACAACCTAAAATTAAAATTCTACTATTTTCCCTATATCACATTGTGGCTGTTTCAGTTAAATTTCCTCTGTTGGCAGGGGAACTACATTTATTTTTGGGAGAACTTATGCTTATGCAGTTTCTTTCAAACATTTGAACAATTTTTAGACTGAGTCTGAACCCATTTTACTCTTGATGTTTTGAGATCTACAGGTTATTGAGGTGGGAATGATGTTTATCTGTTATTACAACTGAATGGCCTCCCTACAACTATGACTAAAGTAGATGCTGTATTGGTTGTGTAAAACATTCAAAGGCATGTAGCTGATATTCTGTTTCAGGGAAATTCAGTATTACTGCCTCCCTGTTTGTGTTACTTTCTCTCTGATTTACAATTTTGCTTTTGACAGATGAAAAAGGAAAGTCAGTTTTTTGTTTCTCAAATATCTCTTGCAGTCTAATACAAGCAGCAACCTGCCTGTTTTTTTTAAGAAATTGATCAAATATAAAGTTTGACCCAGTAACAGGGGAATTATATTTCTTTCTGATTTTTGCAATGTTAAATAGAACAACACAATTTCCCATCTGTTTCAGATTTTTCTTACATATTATCAACAGATTTCTTAGAAAATGCATTCGCTTCTGTTTTGCTGAAATAAAAGTGTCAGAAAGTTGGATGACGCAGAATACAAGCTCCTCAAATGACGGTTTAAATATTTTCCAACCGAGAACCAACAACCACAGGCAGTACTATGTCTGTGGTATCTACAGTTATGTTAAACCTCGTTTAATGAAATACTCTCTCAGCAGAGTGATTAATGGAAAGCTGAAGGACAAAAACTTACATCTTAATTTGAATTCTATGTGAAAGGACGGAGGGATCAGAGAGAAAAGAAGTTATTCAAACCACCAACACGGTTCCGTTTCAGTGATGCTCTACTGCCCCCTTCTTGTTAATGTTTGTCATTGCAAGTCTTGGTTTCTTGACTAGCAATATATGGTCTTTTAAAGCCATCTGGTGGGGAGCAAAGGTAATGCATCTGAGGAACTTATGGAAAAATCTCAACTGAAATATTGAACATTCTTCTCTGAAGCTCTGTTTACATACATATTCTCCTGATCAAAACCATGAGAATCAGGAATTTGCTGGATGATAACCAGATTTTAAAAAGATCTTCAAATAGCTAAATAAAAAAAAATCATGAAGAAAATATTGTGGAGAAGTTATTTTAATCTGCATTTAAACTCAAAGCTGCTGTTACTTAGCCAATAAAGTTTACTAAAAAGTCAATACATCATAGTATACAATACATTATTATTATTTTTTTGTTTGTTTGTTTTTTGTTTTGTTTTTGTTTTTTTGTTTTTTCATCAGGCACTCACACTGTCATAACAGTAGCAAAGACAAAAGGACTTTTTTCCCCATCTAAGCATTTGAATCTGGATCACTGTAAACATGTTTCATTGTTATTAGATGTATTTCCTAGTAACCCAGACTTCCATTTTTTTTTATTTTGTTTAAAACAAAATCAATTTGTAACATATTAAATCAGCACAACTTTTTATTTATTTTTTTTACATAGGGTTATATTGCTGCTTAAATTTGTCAGTCAGAACTTTTACAAGTTTTTGATGATACCTGTATAACAGGTTACCACAAAATAGAGTAATAGTAAAAGTGTGGCGCTTCTTTACAAAAGCTGGGGGGAAAAAATAATTTCAATCTGCTCTGTTTTTAGCTCAAAGAATATTTGAGATTAAGGAAAAAAGGAGATTAAAAATCCATGCAACTGTTGTAAAGAGAACATTATATTGTAAGAGATTTACGTCTCTGTGTCAGCAGAGCGGACTCTTACCAAGTTGGTGGGCCTTTCTGAGGCAGGAGAGGGAAGCATTAAGTCGGGCACATTCTTCTTCGTTGGCACCAAACTTCTGCAACAGCTCACACACCTGCTCCTCACTCATGTCCAGTAGGCCTTCTAGATTAACCTCACCTGCATTCATCTCCTGAAAAGCATGCACACAACAGACACACAGTACCGTTGGTGTTTATCACAATGTACAGAAATTACAAAAACAGCACCTTTATACACCACAACAAGATTTGTAAAGTGCCAGAAATGGGTCATAACGACGTGTTCTTTGCTCCTTCTGTGGCCCAAACTTGAAAAGTCGGCTAAGGCTGGGAAGAACTGCAAAACTCATGGTTCTTTTTCATTATTTTTAGCAGATACGTGTCTACTTGGCTATATAAAAAATTAAATATAAATCACCAGGGTATTAATAGAATAATTTGTTGGGGAAAAAAAGTCCTAGACATTTGCAGTTTTTCTTAGTCACTTTGGTGCATTTCTCACATCACTTAGCATTCGCACAATAGCCGTGCATTTCTCAAAACAATACAAACTGCAAAAATCCCCACTGATAATCTGCAAAAGCATTTCACTTGCTCAAAATGGATAGTTCATGTCTTATGTTAATACTGTCACTGTCATCAAAATGAAAGTTTCTGACTCCATCATTTATGAAATAAGCAAATAGCTTTGTCAAATCTATTATCAGTTTACTAAGTGTTTTTTAATGAAAAACGGGCATATCTCAGTGACACCATCTGAAATCCAGTTACAGCTTTTCTTGATTGCTTTCATGCAACTATATTTTCAAAATAGTTGTAGTACAGAAAATACTGCAAATGTAAATCGAAATAAAATCTGTAAGAAACTAAGAAATTAAGAAAATAAAAATATAATGTCTTACAGTATAAAAATACACACTATTGATACTCAGTTCACCTGAGAGAAACTGATCACTTTTGGACATTTTCAGGATAAACTGGTAAAGAAATGTATAAAATTTGCTTGAGAGATTTTAACAACTAGCTCAGCATTTTTGAATGCAATTTCTAAAGCAATGAAATAAAGAGTAATAGTTTTATACTACAACTCAGCATTCAGTACAGTTCTTTTTGGCTGATATCATATTAGCAAGTGATAATGTAAAACAATTTACTTGGAAAAAAATTAGAATCTGCTACTATAATGAGCACAAATTACTATATATATATTGTGGAGGTTGAAGTAGCAGCTATCATCATTTTTATTCTTATCAAATAAATGCACCAAAGCAATTGAGAACAACTTTGGAATTACATATTAAAATAATACTTTAAGATACTTTAAAATAAAATTAAAAACAGATTGGAAAAAACATCAACCTTAAAATCTAATACATTCTGAAATGCACAAATGACTTAGACAGCAAAGTCATTCCTTCCTGCATCAGAATTGTACAAATTGAGGACAAATTGCTGTATCTATCAAAATGAAATGTATGGGGAAAAAAACATATGTATGTATAAAGCATTTCCTTTGAGTTTTCTACTGTATGTGTGGCTTTTATTGGTCTCTCAATGTTTCCAGTGGGGAGAAATGAAACAACAGAGAACTACACATCACCTCTGCGACTTCCTTCCTTAAGTTGACAATGCGGAACCAGTGGTCGAGGCGAGGGAAGTCTTCCAGCTCTGCACTGCGCTCCTCTAAGGCCACTTTGCACTTGCAGGACAGCTGGCGGCTGAAGTACTTCACCAACTTCCCCTGTTAAGGTCAAACACGGTTAGGAAAGTGATCCAAATCCATACAACATTTAAATACAACAAATTGTTCACTAAAGCGTTGTATATTGAGAATAAAAAAAACTTCTAAATAGGTGAAAACAGACATTAAACACTGGTTGACAGCACAACTCACACAAAAGAACAATTTAAGGGAAAATTTAAGACAAGACATTGAAAGAGCCTGTAGAGAGAAACCGTTTCATAAACTGTAAGAGCTTCAGCTTCATCTCTAGGAGCAGCTGGTCAGCTGACCTTAGAGACCGAGTTGGAGAGAACAGATGAAGCAGACAGGGTGGAGGAAGGTTATCAAGACACTTCAAAACAACTCAAAGAATTCAAAACTCAATTGTGTAGCAGATTGACAGTAAACGAAAACAGCCAGAACAGGAGTGACATGAAATCATCAGTGTGATCAAGCAGAAAGATTAACTGGTTGCAGGGAGAGAATACAAGGTTCTACGAAATGACGCCAACACTAAAGAATAACTAGACCCAAGAAATAATTAAACTAGAGAAAGAAGGAATAACTAGACACAAGAAATAAACATAATAAACCAGAAACACTAAGAAAAGTCTAAACCAAAGTAAAACAGAAATCAGAGAAAGGAACCCAGCATCCTGAGAAATATACCATTAAAACACTGTAAGGATCAATTGTATAGTGCTGGAGAGAATATGTTGTTTCTGAAAAATAGGATGGAATAATTACTTAAAAGTATTTTTATTTTTCAGTTAACAGTCCTCTGATAAATATTCCAACTTTTAACAAAATGATGTTGTCTTATCCACATTGTCATCAGAATCAGCTTTATTGGTCATGTTTGAGCACAAACAGGAAATTTAACTTCAGTTCTACTTTGCTCACAATGCACAGACATTTTATACATAAATATATAAACTTGGTTAAAATTTAAACAGGATTCTGATGCTGTGTGTTTTGGTTTTGTCCTGATTGGAGCCAAACTGCCACCATAGTATAAAGTTTTTCACAGCCTGTAACAGGTTTTCTTCTAGCTCCCCATTTATTTCTTTGCATCTTCCTTCAACGCTGACTCTGCGTCTCTATCCAGCATGATGCAGCTATAAGCTTAGAGCATGTGCAGTGTTCATTTTCCTGTTAATGTGTAGGTCAGAAAGTTTAATTTTGGTGTCATTTGACCAAAGTACTTTGTGTATGCTGTGGCCCAAACATGGCAAACTGCCACAGAGATTGTTATGACTTTCTTTCAACAATAGCTTTCTTCTTATTCTAATGTCATTTAAAAGTTGTCCTGTCAATAAGTTCTCCCACCAACAAACCACTGAGGCCTTTACAGAGATTTAATTCAACACATGTAAACTCTACTCACAAGTTAAAATGGGCTCAATAGACTCAACAGTTCTCTATTTTCAAAATAGAAATGTGACAGACATGTATCTTTCTCTCTGTTACAAAATTAGGCTCTATTTTGTGTTGGTCCGTCACATAAATTCAGTGAAATGTACTAAAGATTGTGGTTGTGACACAGGAAAAACTGTGAATTATATAACAATATGAAAATAGAATGAATCCACATGAAAATAATAAGGAGTCTTTTATGTTTTTACTGATTCTGTATCTTTTAATACCAAATTAGAAAATAGAAACAAATTTTAAGTTGGAATGTAATGGAAGCACAGGCTTCAGAGTAACAGTTTCCCCTAGTGGTGACAGATTAAAATTGCAACCTGTCAAAATAGAACCTTTCCACATAAAACATTGAATAGAGTTGAATTCTTTTATCCTAGAACATTTTATTTTCCCTGGAAATTTTCTTCAGTGACTTTTGTAATTACTGGTATGGTTAACCTTTATGTTATTTGTTGATATTTTCTCCTCAGAAGACACATGTACAGTCAAATATGAAAAACAGCAAAACGTACTGCAACCAAGGAGCACATTTTTAATAAAAGAGCTAGTACTAAAAGTCTTGTAAAAGGTAGTGAGAGCAGGAAAAAAAAACATAACTGTCTATGCATACTTACATGCAAAAAAATTTCTTTAATGAAATAATAAAAAAAATTGCTGCTACAGGAAGCCAGAAAAGCAGCTATTTATAATTTGAAAGCCAGCAACATTTGAGCTCAGAAACGTTTAAAAAAAAACTTTAAAAATTAAACTTTCTCACCTGACCTCAGTTTTCACCATGAAGGCTTTGGGTTTGGATCAGTAACATTTACTGTTTTAAAGTTTTTATATGTAATACTGTCATTTTGCTTTTATTAAAAATGGTTACATACTGTACATGGGGCAAAACAAATCTATTATGTTTTAAGAGATAAAGTCTAAGCAGGTGAGTTTGAGAGAAAAAACTGATCAAGATTTTTTTATATATATTTTTTCTGTTCTTTCCTAAATTAATTATTAGAAAATGTTTGAGTTTAAAAATACAAATGTCTTAAACTTGTGAAGGTACGGCTGTAACGTGCTGCAAGAGCAAATTCACATGTTAGAAAAGAACATACTGAAAAGGATCTTAAATACCTGAAATCCTGCAGCCAAAAAACATTTTGGCTGCAGGATTTTGAGCATAACTCAATAATGATATAACAAATAATTCAATTGAAAAACCTTACCTCAGTCAAAACTAAAATAATGTAATCATAATCTAACAGCAGAACATTAAAACAGATTTTTGTGGGCTTGTAATAATATGAGCATCCCACAATAAATATGCTCAACACATAGAGGCCATCAAGGAAACAAAATAATGTGAAATTATGTCATTAAAACGTATTAGTATGCATAACTGCTCAATCAAAGGCAGATATGTACAATTTAAGAGAATGAAGGTTGTATTAAACCATTTATGTCACTTACATCCCCTCTGAAATGCTTCATTACAGCCAGCTGTCAGGAAACTACTTGTCCTGACTGAATGACGCAGTAGAAGCTCCTCACCACTGCTGAACCAGGACATATTAATGTCTTTGTTACTAAGGAGTTTTTGGTCTGATTGAAGACAATGGTGAGGGCCCACAGAGGGTGACGTGATGCTTGAGATTTAGATGATGCATGTGGATGGCCCAGTTCCAGAAGTACACCTACAAAATGACTGCTAGAAAATAGACATTGCTGGCCTACATCAGTGCATACCAAAGTAGAAACCAGTGGAGGAGGGACCAGCAAGTCACCTCTGAATGCAGAAAACCCTCCAGTAAAAGCTGCCCACGGCTGCTAACGCTCTGCCTGATAAGGCAGCTGCTCAGTCCACTCCTACAGAGAGACACAAATTTACCAAAAAACTCTTACTGTGGCTCTCACTCTTACCGTGCAAGAAAATTCCTTCTTAAAATGTATAGAACTGATTTTCTAAATATGTGTTCAAGTATCTGAACAGTACATTTTTGGTTTTTTATTTCAGTCTAATGTCTTCTTGTTCATCACTCATTAAAGTCTGCACTCAGAAAAACAAGTAATTTAAATGCCATTAAGATAATTTAGCTATAAGTTGTTCATTTTGTGTGGATTACAGAAATACAATTGATCTGATCTGACTAATTGTGGTCTGCAGTTAGGGGCACCGCTTGCACATTTGCTTAAGAAATTATGAAAAATTGATCTTTTTATTATATTCACCTCATCTCACGCTGAATTTTTTAAAAATCTCATTTAAATTGATTGACAATAATTTGTATACAATGGGAATGGGAGTCTGCAGTTCAAAAAATACCAAACTACAACAGATTTGCTTTATTTTAAAAGGCATACGAATTACATGAAGAAAAATGAAATTAAAGGTCACCTCAAAATACACAAACTATCCACATTTTATACAAGCTATGTCAGCACAGCCAAATTTAGACAAAAAAATAAATTTGAAACATATTTTGCCCAAAGATCCTGGAGATTTTACTTGATTATGGTGCCTGGAAACTATTATTTAGCAAACTCTGATTTCCATGTTTTCCTGTGGTATATACATATAATGTGACAAAGAAGCTCTATATTTTCAGTCTCCATTCAAAACAGGAACAATCAGAGTGTAGAATGTGACTAAATTAGGTCAGTTGTGTGGTTTTAACAGATTTTACCTGCCAAACCTGTCCAGAACAGTCAAAGCAATAAAATAATATAAACAACAGGGACTCTACCAGACAAAACTGGACGAAGACCCACGTTTATGATACCACCATGCATGTATGGTAGAGAACTATTGCACAGGGTTGTATCTTGAACACATCCAAGAACACATACGGTTAACATGAGAACATGAAGAGTTTGCAGACCTGAGCGCAGTTAACTCAGCTGCTGTTCCCTTAAATCCTAGATTAAAGATGGTCTGAAGAACAGAAAACTATGTGGAAAACAGATTAATTTAATGAAGGAATATGTTAGAAAGTTGGAAATCACATTTTATTTGATCAAAAAACTGTTTTTCTTTGTTTTGTACCTGCTTTTTGTGCCACATAACCTTTTAAATGGCAGTATTTATGACATGAACAATGGTGGTTTCTGACATCTGTGAAATCTGCATTATTGTTACATTACAAAACTGTGCTGCAATTATAAAGCTCTGATAAGGCAACATGAAAACCAGAACTGATGGAACATACTGCACAGCATGTGTATAGACATAAGCTGCATTGACTTACAGGATAACAGCAACATGCCACAATTATCCACGGTTTTTGCACTTTATTATCTTTACCTTCTGTCTCTCCAGTTGCACACACAGATTTCTTCTGCCAGCAGCATCTTATAAATCATCCATTTACACACGTTTAGTGGCGAGAATGTGACTTTTACATTTGGCAGAATTGGCAATCCGGGAAAACCCTTGCTAAACAAGTTCATAAGTAGAATGATATCCAAGCAAATATCTCAAGAAGCTATTTCTTGCTGCAAATATTCTCATGCTTGCAGCATCTTTTACATGTTTTGACATGGATAATAATGTGTTTCACATTAACTAGAGGTGAAGATGATGGTGAGAACAATGGCATCTATTGCATTGTTAA